ATTTTTTCCTCCCACATCTCTTATTCTGTCCATGATACTGGATTTAGATTTTGACTTTAGTTGGTTCTCCTCCTGTCTGGTTAATTGCCAGTAACTACAACAACCACGATCATAGCGATAGCTCACATTTGTTGAGTGCTTACTCTAAGCCAGGGGCTGACAGTCCTTGTAACCGCACTTCAAGGGAGGTGTTATCATTCCCATTTTTCAGATGAGAAAACTGAGGCTCAGAGAGGTGAAATAGTGTACAAGGTCTTACAACAGGGAAGTGGTGGGGGGGGGGGCGCAGAATTCAAACACAGGTTTGTCTGATTCTAGAATCTATATTCTTGGCCACAGGCTGTAATAACCCTCCCTAAGCTATGCTTGCTCTGATCTTGTCTGATATGCAGAGCCGGAGTCATCAAACTTTTTCTGTTAAAGGGCCAGATAATAAATATTTTCAGCTCTGTGAGCCATACAGCCTCTACTGAAAAACTCAACTCTGCCCCTTTAGTGTGAAGGCAGCCATAGACAAACAGGAAACAATGGCATGAGTGTGAATAAAACTTCACTTATAAAACAAGGTGACAAGCTGGATTTGGCTCTTGAAATTGCCAGCTCCTAATCTGGAGTAGCCTGTTCATTCATTCATTTAGCCAACGTTTATGGAGGGTCTACCTGGGGCCCCCGGCACTGTTCTAGGTGCTGGGGATACAGGGAGAACCACACAAGTCCTCGTCCTCAGGCAGCTTAAATCCTAGCAATGCCGCCTGTTTTACCCAGGCCTGATACCCTGGGCCCTAACCTTGGTACTCTTCACTCTGCCCTTCGACTCTCAACTTAGACTTCAGATCACCCTGGAACTTGTAGAAGCGTCAATGCCTGGGCCCCACTAGCCAGAGGCTCTAATTTGATTGGCTGGGGTGGGCCCAGTATTGATCATTTTGCAAGCTCCCCAGATGATCTGACTGTGCAGCCAGGGTTGCCACCCACGGCATGGATAGCTGTTCGCCTCTCGTTTCTTCTGCTTGCCCACTGTGTGAAATAGGGCAAGTCCCTTCCACCCTCAGAGTTCGAGCTTATACAAATGTAAGGTACCGTTGTCATTCTGCCATTATTATTAGATGTTAATGTTGGGTACTGCCTCATTGATTTCTCTCCCGTTTTGACTTTGATTCTTTGGATCAAGACAGTGTTTAACATTTCTAAAATAAGCTCTATGGAAAGTTCACTAATATCCCAGGTTCATGGCTGAGTGAGCTGGTGGCCTTTCCTTTATTGGAGGATGGGGTCCTATGGGGCTGCCATTTGTTTGGCACGGGGAGCGCTGATCTGTGCCTCCCTTTCATACGAAAGGTCTCCATCTCCAGGCCGACATAGCTGACCTCAGGGCACCAGTGTTAAGCCTTGAATAAGTGGCTTATTTACTTTGACTCCTGGACAACTATTCAAACCCATGTACTTCCATGAGCTTAGACCTAGAGAGAGGAAAGGCATTCACATTTTGCTGAGCACGGAGCAGTTGGCTAGGTCCTTCCCATCTATTATTTCATCTTCAGAACCCTGGGAAGTGAGAATCTTATAGTTCTCATTGAACAGATGAAGAAGGCCCAGAGAGGGGGGACAGCTGGTGATCTGGTGGTGCTAGAACTCAAACCTGGATCTACTTGATTCGGAAGCTCTCTGCACAGAATTGTGGGGCACCCACAAATCATTCAGCTCCTCCTCAGCCAGGATTCAAAGAGATACCAAGCTGCCTAAACTTTATTTTTCCCAGGTTTTGTTTTTTTCTTATATTTATTTTTTGGAGGGGCAGACCCAGAAAGAACCCCACAACACCTGCTAATGCCCCTAGTCTGATAAGCCTTGCACAGCACTAGCAGAATGATACACAGGTCCAAAGAAAAGCCATTTCCCCCTGCACAGCATCTTGGCCGCACAGTTTTATAACCTCATAAGGAAACAAAAAAAAAAACAAACAAACCAAAAAATGTGAGGAGAGCATTGGAGAAATAGATACTGGCAGGAATGAGGAATTCACTGACCCCTAGTCTGGGCCATCTCAGAGAAGCTGGCCACTGGCTGAGCCTCTTAAAAGCTGAAAAGTCATCCCAGGCCACCGTTAGAGAGCTTGAACAAAACAGAAACAAATGTGATCTTCAAAGTCTTAAATGTCAACTTGAAGGATAACTTAGAAGCTCTGAGATGGGCCAAGGGAACCTGCAGCTGCTCTCTCCAGTGTCAGATGGAATAGCCACTCCCCCGGACAGCGCATTAATCAGGGGCCAGCCTCTCTGCCCCACCCCCCGCCCCACCCCCACCATACACAGACAACCTGCCCCGCTGTCTTTCTCCCTTCTGAGTGCCCAAACACAGGCCACAGATGCAGGATGCCTGTGCCTCCTCCCACCCTTCAGGGTAATGGACCAGCCGCACTCATGGATGATCGCCACTGGCAACCTTTTCTAGAGGGAGGAAGTAAGGGTGACCTGAGTCCTGGAGACTCCACCCACTGGCCGTCAATAGTGGAAAACACGTAGCCAGATTTGGGAAGAGGTCCCTTCCAAGTCATGGGCTCTTGATGGCTGAAAACTGAAGAATAAAATTATGATACTCCCTTTATTAAGGGTCTACAACACCCCCAGCTCTGTTTCAGTCCATCTGCATAAATATCATTTTCGTGATAAGCTTGGGAGGAGAGCATTATCCTCAATTTACAGGTAAGGAAGCCGAAGCTCAGAAGGAATCAGCAGCGTATCCCAGGTTAGGATTTCTCCCCCAGGGCAGTCTGCTCTGAAGTCTGCACTCTCCGTGGGGCCAGGCTGCCTCTGAGTCCAGAGCTGAAGGACACAGGATCCCCGAGCACTGAGCCGCTGGCTGTGGAGATGTACAGGGTCATCTGCTATCAAAGCCAAGGACACCCTCCTTGTTGTTCTTTCTGCCAAGTGTATTTGCCCTTTGGACCCTCGGGAGAGCCTGAGAACGCCTCCTCTCTAAGTATTCTGATCTCAGAGACAACCAAAGGGCTGGCCAGGAGCCCGAGCTGATAGAAGGGGCCATGAGAAGGCTTCAGTATCACCCCAAGCGCCAGCGGCCTGGGAACTCGTCCCGGGTCTGAAGTTGGTGAAACATCTCCCAGCGCAAACCCAGAGGGGTCAGGACTGCTCCGACCCTCCGGAGAAACCCCATAGGCCGAAAGAGCTGAAAACCCGGTCCTTGTCCTCAGCTCTCCCTGAGGAGTCTTGTGCTGAGACAAGAGTATTTCTGGATTCTACCTCTGATGGGTTCCCTCGGTCCCCGGGTGTTTAGCCTTCTATTCATAAATTGTGGGAAAAAGCGAAAACATTTAAAATTGCTACTTCCCTTGGCTCCACTGGAATCAAAGAAGCAAGCCCTGGCCTCGGGGATCTCTACACCCTCCCGACCACCTGCACTTAGACTTCCCCTTTCTCTACCCCTGGAGCCAAGGCTCTTCAGTAAGGAGGAGAGTTTAACCTGTTTTGTGTCCAAAACTTTGGGTTCAAGGGTTGGGAAAGAAGACTGGAGAGAGAAGATGTCTTTCAGAGTCTTCCCCCCGACTCACCAAGAAAAAAACAGTCGCAGGCCTTCCTACTGGTCCTGCCCCCACAGCCTCCCCTTTCCCAAACTCCTGACTTTCTTCTAACACCCAGGAGAATTTTCTCTCCTCTTTTTGTCCTGATGGGGGCACGAGTATTCCCTAGGCATCCCAGCCTCTGGAGGGGAAGCTCTGAAAACCCGGCTAGGAGTTGCGAGCCACAGCCTGCAACTACCAGGCATCAAGACAATAACAGCACAGTTGTTTTTTTGAAAAGGAAGAAATGAGGGTCGGAGGCAGCTCCCAGTACAGATGAGAAATGGGCCATGGATGCTTCCATGCCTGAGGCCACCACCGTCACCACACGGTCACGAGGGCATAAACACGCGCCTGCACGCGCATCTCACGGTTTGCAGCCACCCCTGTTTACACGCACTTTTGTTTACACTGCCCTGAGGGTGATTTTTCCTTCATCTTTCTCATACTCAAGTTGAAGACAGAGATTCCTGAAGTGCAACAAGTCTGTTTCTGACATTGCCGTCTGCTCCATCTTTTACAGCGCTTCCCTAGGGGTCAATCTGTATAATTTCTAAAATCTTTCCCAAATCTCGAACTTCCTGTGGGTCCGTTTTTATATCCACATTTCCTCCCTGTCCCTTCGTTTGCTCATTTTCCTAGGACACAGGAAGAGTCCAGTAATCTTCCTCCCACCCAAACATTGTAGGTTGACTCTATTGCAAAATGCAGAATCAGAGACCCAGCGAGGGCAAGCCCAAAAGGACTCTCGCTGTGGTCACCCGTTTGTTGACCCCAGCTACTGACATCCAGCGCCAGGCATTGGGCAATCCAGGCTGATGGGAGAATGGAGCCCCGCACCCTCTTTCCTCCCACACTCCGTGAGCACAAATCCCCCCACGTCCTAGGGAAAATCCATTCCCTCCGTCAGCCAACTTTTCAGAGAAATCCAAGAAACTGACACCGAACTCAGAAGAGGCGACACACAAAACTTTAAACTATTTGAAGATGGGAAGTCGCTTTCATTTGCATGTAGAACTCATGTAGTCCCTCCAGGGACTTTTTCCTAGAGAGGTGTCATTTTCCTTCCCACCTTCCCAGGAACTTTGCAAATCCACCCCAGAACTGTGGAAAAGTGGCCAAGGCAGAGAGAGAAGAGTTAAATCAAGCCCAGACCTCAGCAATCTGTGTTCAATTTTGATAAAAATCTCTCTCCCTCTCCCCCACCGCCCCCCTGCCTTCCTCCACCCCACAGCTCAGACATGTCTCTTTATGTTAGGAGCTTGCATCTTGTTTGGGGCACCGTGGTGCGCCCAGAAAACCCAGCACGTCCCCCACCGTGGGCACATGTGACAGACATCCATCCAGCTCCCGGGACAAGGCTGGACACAGAGCTGCAGCACCCTGGCCACCACCGCCTCCTCCTCTTCATCCTCCTTACAATTACCTGCCTCCAGACCAGGTTCCTTCCTTCCTCGGTTAAGTCAAAGTCCCATCGCCTGGCGATGTCAGGGCCACTGCAGGAGCGTGGGCAGCACCCGCAGGTGCTGAGGTCCCCAGAGTCAGGACCCCTTTGCTGGGATGCTCCTTCTGTCGCCCAAGGTCCCAGTGCCGCTGAGAGCAAGAACGTCCCACTCCCTTCCCTGCCTGCTAGCCCGAGGCCAGGCTTGCGAGTGGGAGCTGGGGGCCTGTGAAGAGTTAAATCCGCGAAGAAAGACAAGCTGAACCGGGAAAAGCCACCACCACAAAGTTGTCCATTTGGGGGGTACCAGCTATGTTTGTCCACTTGTGACAACAAGGAATCAGATTTCAAAGCCACACAAAAACATTTTTTTAAAGTTTTCCAAAGACATTTCCTGTGTCCAGATGGGCCAAAACAGACACACACACACACACGCAAATCACACCCATGCACACAGACACGCACACAGGCCCTGGGAGCCCGCTCAAGCATCCGCGACTCCTGCAAACACTTTGGAGAAACAAAACAGCCAGCCCGCGGAGCGGCTGCCTTTCCAATCGCCTTGAGCGTTGTAAAGAGAGCAGAGGGAGAGAAAAGTGTGGAAGCGCCGGCAGAGAGCGTCCCGCGGCCGGCGCCCACTCCGCAGCCCGAGGCAGAGAGGAGCCCGGGCCGCCGCACTTACTCCGAGGCCCCCATGGCGCGTCGCAGTCCCCGCAGCCCCGACCCCCGCTGCGCCGCGCCGGCCGCTCCCGCTCCGCGCTGCGTCCTCCGCCGGGCTCCCGAGGTCCCGCGCCTCCCCGCCCGGCCTGCGCCCGTCCGCCCTCCCCGCTCTGACGTCAGGCGCCTTGGAGCGGCATATTTATGGCAAGGATCTTCTGCGTTCTCCCTAGGTAGAGTTCTGATTGCAGCTCCTTGGGATTTGTAATTTTCACACTTTCAGACGAAAGGAGGGGAGGGAGGAAGGGAGCGCGCAGGCGGCAGGGCGAGGCAGACAATGAGGGTAGCTGTTTCCAGCTTTGGCAAGGAGCCTTCTCAGGGCTCCCTCTGTTTTGGAAACATGTCAGGGTCAAGGAGGCAAAAGCAGCGACCTGGGCAGTGGGTTTCTCCTCGCTCCTCCCCTGGGCAAGCAGCAAAGAGACCTGGTCTGAGGCAGCTGGGGGTCAGGTGCTGGGGATTGCCGCTCCTCCCCCAGAGAGTTCCTTCGTGAGACAATAAGCACCAGGAGGATGCTAGGGCGAGAAAGAGACAAATCAGGCAGACCAGAACAGCTCATTAGAAGCCCTGGTCCACACCCTGACAACTTTTCCATTTCTTCTTTGGGAGTGTGTATGCAAAAAAAAAAAAGGTTTATTTTTATTAAATTATGTTCCACACTCCCTGCCTCTGTATAGCTTTTCCAACTCAGTGCCAGTCCATTCATCTTACTTCATTGCTTATACACAGAGTCTGAGCCGTTTGCAATAGCTCTTATTCATACTTTTAAAAACTGCTTTTAATTTTTTTTTTCTTAAATGTTACTGTGATCCATCTCCTGGACTGAACTGGAAACTGCCTTTGTCAAGAGCGACTGTCTCCTCCATGATTGGTGCCATCCTCACGGTGAGTATTTGATCTCTGCTTCCCAACCACCCACCCCACCCCACCCCACCCCGGCAGGAGCATGCAAGCAGACTGCCTGCACTGGGTGAGGATCCATGTAGAGTTTTCTAGGTGTTCAGGTCTGGATTCTCCTGGTGGTCTCTTTCTCCACCTAGATGCAGGGGCTTCGGGAAAAGGCTTGGTTTAAGGGCCATCCTCCCAGAGTAGGAAAAAAGAGTGTAATTCTTCATGGTTCCCAGGGATTAGAGAACGAACTTAAAAATAATATACATGAGATGCAAATTGCGTGTACAGTTAGATAACATTCGTGTGTAGGTATTCAACTCCCCGTCAATGACAAGGAGCACGGATAACCACAAATCATCACTAAAACAACACAACTCTAGTGAACTTTCCATGAGCCCAGATTGGGGCGGGGGGGTGCCTTAACCACAGTTACAGTCAGCAGGGACTCAAGGACTTGGAATGTGTTTACCCCTTTGGCAGCAGCTGGTTAGGGCTGATTTCAGAGGAGCCAAGTCTTGGGGCTGGGCTCCTTGGCTGGGACCAGACAAGATGTTTAGGTCCAAGCCATACAGGGCCCAGAGCCCTGCTGTTTGCTCCCTGTTAGGTTTCCCTCCTGAGCGTCATATCCCACTGCCACATCCCTCCATCCCCTTCCTCACATCAAGGCTCCATTGGCAAGGTGAGCCCTGCTCTGTAGTAAACACTGAAAATTGGCTTCCAAAAGCCATTGACACACCCCTCCTCCCTTGCCTTCCTCAACTAAAGAAGCTGGAAGTCTACAACATTCACCATCCCAGACTCCCTTGTAACTAGGAGCAGCTATGAAAGCCAGTTCTGGCCGGTGAGGTTGGCATGCACGGATCAGCTTCCGCAAAAACTTTTTGAGAAAAGGTGGGATTCAGATGGCATGCCCCTTCAACCCTGTGACATTCTCTATTCCTTCTTCCCCCATTTCTTCTCTCTTGGAACATGGGTGTGATGCCTGGAGATACAGCAGCCCTCTTGCAACCTTGAGAAAAAAACCAATCAGTTAAAGATGGTGGAGCAGTATGGTAGAGGAAGCGAAGGCCCTAGATGACATCTGTATGTGGCTGCACCTTCCTCTGACTTCTTATTAGGTGAGAGAAATAAATTCCTATGGGTTTAAATTATTGTAGTTGTCTTCTGTTGTATTTAGCCAAGTATAATCTTACCTGATACACTCTCATTGATCCGCCAAGAAATAATACTGGGACAATTCCTGAACATTAGCTTACAGGTATGACAATGGTTTTTAACACGATACCTTGCACTGGCATAATTCTTTATAGTTTTCAAAGCCTATTCACATATATCTCCTCTGGACCTCATGATTTTGGGAGGCATCACCATAACCTCCATTTTTTTGTATAACAAAAGAAGCCACATCTGATAAATGTCCTGCCCTAGATCACACAGTCAGCAAATAAGGGACCTTGGACTCTAACCTAGTTCCTCTGATTCCAATTCTTTGGATTTTCTGCAGCATCTTTAATAACAAAACACAAAAGTCCAATAAAGAATTCTTATTCCTACTAAGTCAGCGTGAATTCTATTTAATTCAACCAAGAGGAAGCAGTTTCCACGTCAACTGAGGAACTGGAAAGTGCCGCAGTCTGTTTGGGACTTAAGTTAGCCCACTGTCTCCCCAAACCTCCCTCGCCCTCCGGCCGCCCTGGGGCATCCTGCCCTGAATGCCTGCAGCTGCTCTTTCTAGGGTCCCATGGCTTTTGAGATGAATCCAGTCTTGTCACCCTTCATTCTCACGTCCTTTGAAATGCTTAGGCCCTCCTTTCTTGAGACACTCCCCTCCCTCAGGGCTGCCTTACCATCGCTGTGCCTGCCCCTGTTCAGTTCATCTTCCTGGGCGCTCCTCTTCCACCAGGATGTTGAGGATCCCCAGGATCTGTGAGCGGCCGTTCTTCTCCTGAACATCACAGACTTTCCTCCTGTGATTTCATCCTTTCTCGTGAATCCCACCACAGGCTCAGTAATTGTCTGGGAAAGTCAACCATTGTCTCTATGCCCAAATCTATATTCCAACCACCATTTTCTTCTCAATATTCATCCTGCTTTTCCAACGGTTTATTGTCTGTGTTGCCCAGCACATAGCAAGTAGTAAATAAATCATATCTATTTTTAATTATTTTTAATTATTATTGTAAAAAAAAAAAAAAGGATACAGGAAAGTTCCTAAAGCAAGAGAGGATTTTATGACTAACGTTTCTAGTATCAGGAGCTCTGGTGTGGCCATCCTCCCTTAGCATCATGCCACAGGCCAATCTCATGGTCCACACTCATAAGAAGAGGTAGCGGAATTAATAGAAATTAGCAACAACAGAGCAAATAGAAATGAAGTGGCAGACCTAACGAGAAATAGAATATCCTCATTAACTCTTCTTTACACGCAGTGTCTGTGAGAACCTGCCTACAAGCCTGACACTGAGTGGCTTCCTTCCAGGCAAAGTGAGAGAAAGGGAGGAATTAAAGATGCGGTGACATAGGGCCAGAGACTTACAGCCCGTGGGCGGGGAGCTTGAGGAGGACAGGAACAGGGGCAGTGGGGCTGTGCACAGAATATTCCAGGTCTGGGAGGCGGGAGTCTCCTCCCTGGCCAGGTGAGATAACTCAGACGCTGTTGGGAAGAGGAGCAGGTGAAGCTCATAAAACATGTGGCTCTCAGTGCTAAGGGCCATTTTTGATGCTGTTGAGCTCTGAAGAGTCCATGAAATGGGAGGGCCTTTTCCAAGGTCATCTGATGGAACCCCTACCCACCAACCATATCTCATACAGAGCCCTCATGTGGGAGCCAGGGTAATCTCGTATTCTCAAGACAGCCAGGAAGCAGGCTCCATCTTCCTTCACCTGTCAGTCCCCTGCACATTCCAGGAAGGTTCCACGCTGCTCATCTGGAAAATTCTACCGGCTCGCTGAGGGATCTTCAAGTAACTCACCAAGCTTGTCCCGGCTTCCAAAGCTGACTGTGGACTTCCAGGCCCAGCCTTTTCATGGGGAGAAGTGGGCTTCACAAGGTCCCTCCTTGTTCACTTCCCAGGGGCAGAACTCCTGGTCTATACCGCATGGACCTTGGGAGCACTTGGTAAAGACCTTTGGAAGAATGAATGAGAGTCCCATGAGTATGCCGTCTACTCATTGTGAGGCACTCCATGAATAACATACCCCTTTCCTTGATTTACTGACATGGGCTATAAAAGATTATGAAGAGAACTCAGTTGTTAGAATCAGAGACCTTGGTTGAATCCCCAGCCTTTCCTCTCACTGCTGTGTGACCTCAGCGTGGCAGGTAACTTTCTGAAGCTTTGTGTTTTTGTGATGGTTACTTTTATGTGTCAACATGGCTGGGCCATGGTGCCCAGCTATTTGGTCAAATATTATTCTGGATGTTTCTATGAGTGTATTTTTTGGATGAGATTAATATTTAAATTGGTGAACCTCCATAACGTGGTTGGGCCTCATCCAATGAGTTGAAGGCCTTAATAGAACAAAGACTGACTTCCAGGATTCTGCCAGCAGATGGCCTTCAGACTCGAACTACAGCTCTTCCTTGGGTTTCCAGCCTGCCAGCCTACCCCATCAGATTTTGGGGTCACCAAACCTCCACAATTGCATGAGCCAATTCCTTAAAATAAATCTATCTGTCTATACACACACACACATCCTCTTGGTTCTATTTCTCTGGAGAATCCTGACTAATACAGTGTTCCTCATCAATAATGTGGGATGAAGATCATTCCATCCAACAGGATTGTTGAAAAGGTCACGTGAGGCAAAACAGATTGAAAGTCCCTACCTCAGTGAGTTCTTCTCAGTGAGACTGGGGAGGGAGAGGAACGCTCAGAATCGTGAGGTCTCTGTCATCCCACCTCAGAAGCCGTCAGAATCAATTTGCTGGCCCCCAGGCTGTGCCTGGGGAAGTGCCGAGTTCTGTATCAAGGACGCTGTTAATGACTAGAAGGCAGAAGAAGCTTGTTCTA